AAATGATCGTAAAGTCGAGTCAGGTCATGTGATCAGCCACTGAATGAACACCGCAAAGGTATGACCAAAATTCCAAATCCAACTGTAGGCCTAAATCAGGGGTAGGCAACCTTGGCTCTTTTATGACTCGTGGACTTCAACTCCCATAATTCCTGAGCCAGCATGGTGCCTAGAACACACTTCCGAAAGTGGCATCCACACACTTCCTGTGGGCCGTTCTAGGCCTGGGAGGCCTCCTCCAGGCCTCCAATGCTTAGAACGGACTTCCGGGTATCCATGCACTTCCAGTGGCTCGTTCTAAGGTCTGGGAGGCCTCCGAGGCCTAGACTGGACTTCCAGAAGCCAGCCGGTTCTCCGAATTCAGGTAAATTTAGCTACCGGTTCTCCCGAACCGGTGGGAACCAGCTGAATCCCACCACTGGTTACCTGTAATTGTTTATGTTTATCATTTTGCTTTTTAAAGGGAAATTCAAGAGCAAAACCATGAAGAACTTTATACATTCACGTATTCTAATAAAAATATTAAGAAATTGAAAGGTATATATTGTTTATTTTTAAAGCGCAATCTTCATTTCTATATTTTTCCCATGGATGTGAAAAACTGCATTTGGAAAAACCATTTGTACGGTAAAAGAAAGGACAACAGTGAATTTTTGTCTAAAGCTAAAGCTAAATAAATCTAAAGGACAGCTTTCTGAAAGCTTTATAATAACATGTGGTCAACGTATGACCATTTGTTTACTGACTGTTCAAAGTTAAAATGGCACTGAAAAAAACATGACTTATGACTAGTCCTCGCACTTACGACCATTGCAGCATTCCCCGCGAACATGTGATCAAATTTGGGCACTTAGTTACCGGCATGTATTTACGATGGTTGCAACATCTCGAGGTCACATGATCGCCATTTGCAACCTTCCGAACCGGCTTCTGACAAGCAGTCAATTGAGGAAGCTGGTTTCACTTAACGACAGTGTGACTCACTTAACAACAGCAGTGATTCACTGAATCAAAATGTGAGTCAGGCGACTCACTTAAAAACCGCCTTGCTTAGTAAGAGAGATTCTGGCCCATGTTGTCGTAACTCGAGGACTGTCTGTTGTCAATAGCCCACTCCCTTCTCTCCCTATGTATGCCCTGGTTTTGAACCACACTGTTGCTTTCTTTAAATTTTAGAATTTCCCACCTTGCTACAGTGTCACCCAGATTATTCAGGAAAAATGAAAAAGAAAAGCGTCCCCCCGTGATCGCCAAATTTTGTTCCTCATATCTAGTGCCGGCAGAAAAGGATTCTCGGATTATCTTCGTCACGGGGTATTACTCCTACGATCCTCTTACCTTCCTGCTGGTATAATGGGGGTGTTTGCCAAGCCTGGCATCCATGCTCTCCAAGAAAAGGGCATCGGTGATTTTCCCCACGGTCAAGCAAGCTTCGTCCAGTATTGCAATAATACCCTTGTGCGGCTCTTCTACCAGATCGACGATGATTTGATTGTCGAAATATTCAATCTGTCAAAAGAAGGCAGAGGTGCTGCTTGGCAAGGGAAGGTAAAGCAGATTTTTTTTCAAACTTGGCTGCTTTAAAGTGTGTGGACTACAACTCCCAGAATTCCCCAGCCAAACATGCTGGCTGGAAAATTCTGGAGCTGAGGTCCACACTTCTTAAAAGTTGTACAGGTTGAGATTTGAAAACCCAGGTACAGGTAGTCCTTGATTTACAACCTTTCATTTAATCACCATTCCAAGTTATGACAGTGGTGAAAAAAAAGGACTGGTGGCCAGTCCTTGACTTACAACCATTCGTTTAATGATGGTTCAAAGTTGTAACAGTGCTGATCAAAAGGGACTTAGGATCATTCCTCGCACTCAGAACTGTTGCTGCGTCCTCATGGTCATATCATCAAAGTTTGGGCGCTTGGCGTGTATGAATGACGGTTGCAAAATCCTGGAATCAAGTGATCGCCCTTTGTGACGCCCTTTTCCTAGTGGCTTGTGACAAGCAAAGTCGAGGGGGGAAACGGGACGTGCTTAAGGACTGCGGGATTCACTTATCAACCGCAGCAAAAAAGGTCATAAAACTGGGAACAATTCACTTAACAACCGGATCGCCTAGTGACGGAAATTCCAGTCCCAATTTGTGGTCTGAAGTCGAGGACTAACTGTAATGCTGCAGTTTCAACTGCAATCGTTCTCCTTCCTTCTCCTGTTATATGGAAAAAAATTAAGTTCAGATCGGAAACAACTTTGGACAAGTTTTTGGCAGGCCGCATCAATGTTTAAGGCAGGGGTCTCCAACCTACGGGCTGTGGCTCACTCCCGGGCCATGGCCTCTTGGCCACTGGGTGGCATGAGTAGCATGACCATTGGCAGTGACGCGAGCGGCAGACGGGCAGCAGCGCAAGCCTCGCAACAGCGGCAACATCACCACGAGCCTGGTGTCCTCGTCGCCACCAGCCTCATATAGGGATCGGCATCGCCGAGAGCCTCAGGCGCATGCTCGCCACCCCATTTGTGTAGTGTGCATGCTCACGGCCTGTTTGTGTGCACACGCTCACATTTGCGCATGCGCGTATACGCCTGCCCTCCTCTTTCCCACCGGGACGCCAACTGAGGAAGGTTTTAAGAGACTCACGTGCTGCCATTCAATCCCCTCACGCTGGTATTCCTGCTGTTCCTGCTGGAGGATCAGTTCGATGAACAGCTGCTGCAGCTTCTCGTTGCAGTAGTTGATGCAGAACTGCTCGAAGCTGGAAGAAGAGACCGAGAAGATCAGGACCGCTCTCCAACAAAAAACACCCAAGTACCCATCCATCCTCGTTTCATGACCGTTCGCTGAACCCCCGTTCCAAATTACGACACCCTCAAAGAAAGTGAAGATAAGACATATTCTCAATGTTACGACGCTATAGGTACTCAACTTACAACCTCAAATTTCTGTCGCTAAGCAAGATAGTTATTGCGTTTCGCCCCGTTTTACGATCTTTTCTTGCCATGGTTGTTAGGTGAATCGCTGCAATTGTTAACCTAGTAAGATGGCTGTTAAACGAATCTGGCGTCCCCACTGACTTAGTTTGTCAGTGTTGTGATTCCTCGCCAGCCAGTGGACCCGGCAGCTGAGTCTGAGGAATCAGAGGAGGAGGAGGAGGGGCCTGGAGTGACATCAGAGGAGGAGGAAGGCTCTGAGGAGCTCCAAGACTTACAGTCGGACGAGAAGCCTGGCCCCTCTACTCGCGCTCAGGCTGAGACACAGCTGTGCTGGGAGCCTGAGTTGGACAGTGATGAGGAACAGCTGGGACAAATCCAGGATGCACGAAAACGCCGGCAAGAGAAGCGAGTAGGACAGAGGAATGCAATGGGTTGGCTCCAAAGGCAAAGGAGAAGGCATTAGGAAGCCACACTTTGGCTGAATTATAAAAGGGAAGGTGTGGGAGGTGCTGGTTGCCGAAGGCAACTGTTTGTGTTGTGGAATCGAGTTTCTGTGAACTGTGTTTTGTTTGCCTTGGAGATTGACTCAGGTCTGTGAATAATAAAAGGGGATTGGTTTTTTCCTGTAATTCCAGCCTGCTTGTTGCAAGAGGGGTTTCTCCTTGTGAGCTTAATAAGGATTCACTTAACAACCAAGCGGTTTGCTTAACAACCACATAATTCACTTAACGACCGTGGCGACTCGCTATAGGATCACAACACAGTCATAAAATTGGCCAGTCGGCCAGTGACGGCCCATTTAACAACTGACGGCCAAACATTCCAAGCCCAATTGTGGTCGTTAAGCGAGGGCTCCTGATCCAGAGAATTCTCCTGGGGTCTTCTACCTGTTGTTGCCGAAAATCTCAAAGCCGTAAATGTCCAAGACACCGATGACCGTATTTTTGCCGTGGATTCGCGGGTCGTAGTTCTTGACCTCGATGGTGGCGTTGATGCGGTTCACGATCCAACAAAACAGCCGCTCGTAAATAGCCTGTGTGGACAAACACGGGGACAAGACCGCGCAGTCGTCGTGGCTGGGGACGAATCGAGTTGAATGACGCAAAACGTATCCTCTTTAAGATGCGGTGAAGTCACACACCGAAATTGGGGAAGATCGAGAGTTTGGATTTCAGAGCTAGTTTGGTGCCGTGGTGAAGGAACCAGGCTAGTGGGAGATGGTGAGTTCTAGTCCTGCCTTGAGCATGAAAGCCAGTTAGGTGATTTTGGCCCAATCACCAGGATGTTGTGAGTTCTAGTTCAGCCGTAGGCGTGAAAGCCTGCTGGGTGACTTTGGGTCAATCACCAGGAGATGGTGAGTTCTAGTCCCGCTTTAGGCATGAAAGCCAGCTAGGTCACTTTGGGCCAGTTACCAGGAGATGGTGAGTTCTAGTCCCACCTTAGACACGAATGCGAATTAGGTGACTTTGGGCCAGTCCCTCTCTCTCAGCCCAACCCACCTCACAGGGTATGTTGTGGGGAAAATAAAAGGCAGAAGGAACATTAGATACGTTTGCCACTTATTTTATAAAAATGATGAAAGAAGGGGTATAGAAAAATAATAAAAATACAATAAAATAAAAGATAAAAATCAAATCAAGTAACAAAATAAAGTGAGATCAAACTAAAAGAAGAGGAATTAAAAAAACAAAGAAAAGCATAAAGTAAAATAAAGGAAGATATAAAAAAAAGACCCAGATAAAAATAAATAAAATAACAAAGCAAAATAAAGTCAAATGAAAGGAAATGAAATGAAGATAAATAAATAAATGAAATTACAGGTAAAGGAAAATGAAATAAATTGAAATTAAGATGAATAAATAAGCAAGTAAAATGATAAGTAAAATGAAAATGAAATAAAATAAAATAAAGGTCAATGAAATAAGTGAAGTAAAATAAAACGAAATAAAATAAAATTGAAATAAATCAAGGAATAAAATAATAAGTCAAGTAAACTGAAAATGAAATAAAATAAAATTAAGATAAATCAATAAACAAAATAACAAAGTAAAATGAAAATGAAAATAAATGAAATTAAATTTAAATCAAGAAACAAAATACGTCAAAGAAAAGTAAAATGAAACAAAATAAAATTAAAATAAATACATAAAATAATAAGTCAAGTAAAAGTAAAATGAAACGAAATCAATAAAATAAAAATAAAATAAATAACTAAAATAATTTCAAGTAAAATGAAGAGGACATGAAATTTAAATAAATAAGTAAAATAAGTACAACAAAAATGAAATGAAATGAAATAAAATAAAATACAATAAAATAATAAAAAATACAATAAAATAATAAAAAATAAATAAAATAAAATAAAAAATAAAATAAATAAAATAATAAGTAAAATCAAATGAAAAGGAAATGAAATTTAAATAAATAAATAAAATAAGTAAAACAAAAACAAAATAAAATAAAATAATAAAACAAAATACAATACTATAATAAAATAAAATAAAATAAAATAAATAAAATAAATAAATAATAAAATAATAAAATAAAATAAAATAAAATAAAATAAAATAAAATAAAATAAAATAAAATAAAATAAAATAAAATAAAATAAAAAATAAAATAAAATAAAATAAAATAAAATAAAATAAAATAAAATAATAAAATAAATAAATAAAATAAAGATAGATAGATAGATAAATAATGTAAAGTGAAATAAAATGAAAATGAAATAAAAAATCAAACCAAATATCTGTTTATTCCTGAGATCTCTATACAAGTCCACTCTCTTACATCCTGAGGAAAAATAACATTCCTGCCTAACATGAAGCAGGCAGTTGCGCAACCAGGTCAACATCCACCCGAAACCCCATCAGACCACGGATGGTCTTGTATCCAGCCAAATCTCGGCGTTACCTTGGCGCAGGCATCCCGTGCGTAGTTGGCCTCATTGTGACTGTGGCCTTTTTGGATCACCTCGCCACCACCCGTAGCCACTGTCCGGTATAGGAGCGTGTTGAGGAGGCTCTCCCTCTCGGTGGAAGTCAACTCCGCAAGGTAGGAGACCGTTTGTGGATCCTCGACGGCCACCTCGTCGCCGGAGCAGGTGAAATTCACGTTGCCCTGGAAAGTCAGTGGACAAAAGGATCCATCAGACCTCAAATACGGGTCGTCCTTGATCAAAAACATCCCAACGGAGGCAGCTTCAAAAGTTCTCGGGTGCGTCTAGCGGTGTGCGGGTGAGCATTGTCACGAACCAACACCACACCGGAACTCAGCATGCCCCGACACTTGTTATGGAGGGCTTGTCTGAGTTTTCGTAATGTTTCACAGTGGACTTCCGAATTGATGGTCGAACCAGACTCCATAAACTTCGCTAGCTGTACTCCTTTCACATCTTCACATTTGGCGGGATTTTCTATGGCGCCCCTTCCCGCCAAATGTGACGATGCCAAAGGAGTATGGCTAGCGAAGTTTATGGACCATCAATTTGGAAGTCTACTGTGAAACGTTATGAAAACTCAGACGAGCCATCCATAACAAGTGTCAGGGCAAGCCGACTTCCGGTGTGGCGTCGGTTTGCGACAGTGCTCGCCCGCACATTGTTAGACGCACACTAGAACTTTTGAAGTAGTTCCGTTGGGATGTTTTTGATCCCCCCCGCCATAGCCCAAGTTTGGCGCCAAGCAACGACTACTAAGGAATTTCAAACTTTGTAAGACGTTATGACAAGCGCCTCAATTTGAAGGGCGGTCAAAAAGTAATGTAATGTTGTTGTTTTCTAATGTGTATAATGAAAGCTCTGCATCTGCGAATGTCTGTCATTGATAACCAAACGGAGGTTTATTTCCGAATTGCCCTTGTAGTTCAACTTTTTGTACAGTTCTCGTCTCTGTCTACCTCGAACCGTTTCTTATCCGAATCCACATTCTTAAACCAACTAACTAGAAATATTAATCGAAGATTGTTTCTGAAAACTGGAACCATCACCCCCAGCATGTAACCATAGTAGTTTGTTAATTGTTTTCTTGATGGGAAGATCAGAGATTCGGTCAGGACTGAAAGCGAAGTCTATTGAAGCAGGAGAGATAGTTTAAAAAAAGAGAGAAGTAAATAATAAAAAAATCAAGATAGCAACCGTGACTGCAAAATTTAAGCTGCCATCTTGAATTTTTTGACAATCGGCAGACTGATTGCCTTGAGCAGGGGGTTGGATTAGAAGACCTCCGAGGTCCCCTTCCCAGCCCTGTGATTCTATGGTCTATATTTTTTAAAAGGTAGAAGAAACTGTTCAACCGTTCTGTAAGCATTGGCTTACTTCAATTAGACAGGAAAGGGTAAGGAAGAAACTCATGATTGACTCATCTTGATTTTCTTCAGTATAAAGAGAGCTGGGAAGTACCCCTATCAGTTTTCAAGATTCTGTTATCACACCTTATTACCAGAAAGTTATGTTCTAGTCATTCACATGATGTCGGTTTACTGACCCTGGCCCACCTCGAAGGGTGGGCCGGTCAAATATCAAATCAATGTCATTTACCAAGTGTAAAATGGCTGCCAGGATCTTCTGCACGGAATCGATCTCTTCAGAAATAAAACCGATCACTTTCATGGCATCCAGGACGGATTGATAGGTGGTTTTCTCACTGTCCAAAGACTTGGGAGGGCAGAAGGTGCAAGGCCAGCCAATGGAGAACAACCAAAGGGGTAAAATAAAAACAAGAATTAATCGGGGGGGCCTTGGATATTCACCCTACTTATGAACCACTTTACACTCAGGGCTCAATCGTGGAATAACTGTACATAGTCTGCCTCTTCATAACATCTTCCAATAAACTTAATTTTCTTTGGTTTTCGCCACTTGCTTTGCGACAATCCATGCTTTTCTGCTTCCTCTTATGATTAGGACGAGTTGCATGGATTAAACTGTGTTTTACTTACCCTGTTATTACTACCACCCTCCTTGGTAAACCTGTAGGCTGTTGTGTCTCCAACCAGGTGGAGAGATTTCAGCTTAGCGTCCGAGGCACCAAGAAGTAACTGGAAAAAAATAATAATAATTTGATACCCCTTGACGTATGACAATTTGTTTAGGCACAACAACACCGAAAAAAGCGACTTAGGACCGTTTTTCACACTTACAACCGTTACCGCATCCCCGTGGTCATGTGATCAAAATTCAGACATTGGTATCGACTCCTATTTACGACGAGTGCAGTGTCGCGTGATCCCCTTTTAGTGACCTTCTGACAAGCAATAAGGGGGCTGGATTCACTTAACAACCAGGTCACTAAGTTAACAATGACAGGGGTATGCTTCACAGATGCGGCAAAAAAGGTCGTAAAAATGGCTCAAAACTTACTTAACAAAATGTCTCCCTTAGCAACAGAAATGTTGGGCTCCCTGCAGTTGTTCAGTTGTTCAGTGAATCGGAAGCTAAAATATAAAGAGAATTTTTCCCCGGGGGCAGATCAAACCATTAGGTAAATTTAAGGACGATGGGAAAGATGGTCCTTCGTTCCCATGAGGGAACACAGTCCGGATTTCCAAGTAGGAGGGAGGGGCTGCATCGCAGAGGAGCAAGAAACAGCCATTTTAGAGACTTTGTGTGTGAGAATGAGGGTGAAGACAGCGCCTCCTCAACGGTTCCCAATGTGAATGTTTTATGCGGCAAGTTCGTCTGCTTTCGTTCGGCAAGATTCTCTCTTATAGGTGAGGCACAATACAGGGAGTCCCGACTTACAACCTTCCTTTAATGACCGTTCAAAGTTTCGATGGTGACTTTTGACCGTTTTTCACACTTTACGACAATTGCAGCATCCCCGTGATCACGGGATCAAATTTAGACGCTTGGCAACTGATTCACACCGATGACGGTTGCCGTGTCCTGGGGATGACGTGATCCCCTTTTATGACCTTCAGTGGGAAAGCTAGCTTCACTTCACGTCTGTGTGACTAGCTTGACAACTGCAGCGATTCACTTAACAACCGGGCCAAGAAAGGTTGTAAAATGGGACAAAACTCATTTCACCACTGTCTGCCTTAGCAACGGGAATTGTGGTCTCCATAAGTCGAGGACTACCTGTAAAGGAAACTGGTTTGAACAACCTCAACCTGTTTTCACGGGTTTTGCAACCCGCTGACACCCTTGGACTAGCCAACATTGTATGATTCCGGAATGATCCGCATCTACAGCAGTGTTCCCCAACTTTTCGGGGGTTGGCAGCCTGGAATGGGGAAAGAAGGGATGGTTTTGTGTGTGGGGGGAAGAACACATGTGCGTGCGTGTCTGCACACGAACCCCCGTTGCTTGCATGAGTGGAACCGCGAGTGTCCACAACACTTGCGCGAGTGGGACCCTGAACGCCCCTGATGCTTGGACGAGTGGGGCCGCAAACACCCGCAATGCTCGCACGAGGGGGGCCGTGAACGTCTGTGACGCTTGCACAAGTGGGGCCGCGAACACTTGTGATGCTTGCCTGAGTGAGAAGGTGAACGCTTGTGAGACTTGCACAAATGGGGTCTGGAACGCCTGTGATGCTCGTGGCAATGTTCGTACGAGCGGGACCGTGAGCATCCACGATACTCACGCGAGCGGGGCCAGGATAGCCCACGACCCTCAAACGAATGGCGCTACAAACGCCTGCAACGCTTGTACGAGCAGGGCTGCGAACGCCCGTAATACTCATACGAGTGGGGCCGTAACACCGGTGGCGCTCGCCCGAGTGGGGCTGCGAACACCAGTGACACTCGCAGCAACACTCGTACGAGTGGGGCTGTCCGCATGCATGCACACCCGGCAACAGCCGGCCACTCACGCAGCCTGGTGGCCAACAGATTGTGGCGCAGAAGTGAACCGCAGCCCCCCTGATCTAGAGGACACCTGACGGGATCTTTCCCGGGCACGACAACGTTCCCTAGCCTTGAGTGTCCTCACAGGACCGCTCCATCGAAGAGGCAAGTCCATGCTCCAATTGAGGAAGACCTCAGACCATCTCAACGTAGATCGTGGTGGTCATCCAGCTTCCCCGTGACCCGTCTCGCTCAACGGCTGCCCAGATGACCTCCGAGAAACTTAGCAAGAAGGAAGGAGGACATTCGTGGGTCCTCCAGCAGTAGAAGTCAACTCACCTGATAGAACGCATGGAAGTTTCTCTCTCCAGGTTGCTGTTTGAGGACCCGCGACTGCAAGGGAAGGAGAACGTTGAGGTCATCTGGAGGACCCGGGTGGACAGATGCCTTGGTCCCCAAAGCCTTCCTACCAGACGGAGCAGCTATCGGAACCCATGTATAGGAGAACCACATTCTGAGGGTCTAATCTGGGAGTTGAAGTCCATCCCTTGGAAAGCATGCCTGCTGGGGGATTCTGGGAGTTGAAGTCCAACACTCTTAAAGCATGCTCACTGGGGGATTCTGGGAGTTGAAGTCCACCCCAGTTAAAGCATGCTCACTGGGGGATTCTGGGAGTTGAAGTCCACCCCACTTAAAGCATACCATCTGGGGGATTCTGGGAGTGGAAGTCCACCTCTCTTAAAGCATGCTCACTGGGGAATTCTGGGAGTTGAAGCCCATTCCTCTTAAAGCATGCTCACTGGGGGATTCTGGAAGTCCACCCCACTTAAAGCATGCTCACTGGGGGATTCTGGGAGTTGAAGTCCATCCCCCTTAAAGCCTGCCATCTGGGGAATTCTGGGAGTTGCAGTCCACCCTTCTTAAAGCATGCCATCTGGGGGATTCTGGGAGTTGAAGTCCATCCCCTGTAAGGCATACTGTCTGGGGGATTCTGGGAGCTGAAGTCCATCTCTCTAAAAGGAGGCTGACTGGGGAATCCTGGCAGTTGAAGTCCACCCATCTTTAAGCCTGTCGGCTGAGGGATTCTGGGAGTCGAAGTCCACTCCTCTGAAAGCTTTCCGGCTGGGGAATTCTGGGAGTTGAAGTTCCCTCCCTCTTTCAGTGGTCCAGTTTGAAAAAAACACCCCAGGCTCCGTTCTTCCGTTTCTCGACAAACTGGGCCAGGGCGAGACCCTCGTTGTGAGACGCCCCCAATTTTCCTCCATAAATGTGGATAGTTAGGATGACCCCGTGAGTGGAACGTGACCCCCACCCCCCAAAAAATCCTGCTTTAGGACACCCCCCCTACCTTTTCCAACAAGTAGTTGCTGATGTGTCCTCCGGTGGGATCCCCCTTGAAGTCAAAATTGATGTCCATGTATTTGCCGAAACGGCTGGAGTTGTCGTTGCGGCTCGTCTTTGCGTTGCCGAAGGCCTCCAGCACGCCGTTGGACTTGAGCAGGACGTTTTTGACTCTGGGGAAGGTGGAAGAAACGCAAAAGAATTACTTGGGGAAAGGGTTAGGGGGTCTTCCTGGGCCCCCCC